CGCCCCATCGTGTTCAAGTTGAGGTGCCGTTGTTATGCACCGTGTCATTTGGCGTTGTTTGATTCGTCGAGGTTTGTCCATTCAACTTGAAGCGGGACTCCAATCGCTACAGTCGCCGGTCGGGGCCAGCTACACGCGGGTGTGTAGAGATCTTTGGCGATGATATCATTCGATATATTCGACGGGGACGGTGCGGGAGCGGTGGACAGCACGTCGTTCGAAAATCCCGGCAGCCTGTCGACGCCCATTCTTGTGGAATCCTTTCGACCGATCCTGGCGACATGGTCCTCAGCCGTCCACTTCAAGCCACGTATTTGGAGGAGCTGTGGTACGTGCGTTCGAACCGTGTTGAGGCGTGCCATCGCTGGGCAAACGGCCTGCACGATTGCGTCACAGCGGACCCACCTTGCCCGCACCTGCCTGGTCTGCTTTGTGTCCCCGACCACATTGCGCGGTTCAAAGCCGAGCGCTTCCGCCTCGTACATGGTTGGGCATATCGTAGCAGTCAAGACTTGCCAAAGCACTCCATGAAACCGGCGCATTTCAATCATGGTCGCGGATGTTTTAGTTACGCTCTATCGTTGGCATCTATCGATCTACCTTCGATGAGGGTGGCTCTTGAACGACGTCGGGTCCGAGATGGACAGCATGTCGTATCGATCGTCGCAGCTGCTGTGAAGCAACACGTACTTTTCCCGCTTCCCTCGCCAGTAGTCGCTGCTTTCGAGGTCGGCGATTTCGTCCACGACGAGTTTCAACACCTTCTTGTACCGCGAATTTGCCAACGACTCCACGGCCGTCGACCGGTCGTCCATGAAGCGGCTGCCAAAGTCCCGCAACACCCCGAACGGCACATCCACCGACAGCACCTTGGTCGGCTCGTTCGATGCACTCGGCACAAGAAACGACGACAGCCACTTGGACACTTGACGCTCGACGTGGCCGACATCTTGCTTTTGCCGTTGTTTGTCCTTTTGATTTTGCTTGGGGTCGATCACCTTGACGTTCAGTTTGACGGTCGGGCCGTCTTTGTCGTTGCCGCCGCTCTTGTCCACCCCGCCGCTTCCGCCACCGGCAGCCATCGCCATGGATCCGCTCCGAGGCCGATGCAACGACGCCACGGTCGGGTGGTGCTCGAAAAAGTAATACGCGAGCGACGTGATCGGCACCGTCACGTCGCCGTCGTAGTGCTTGATCGAACGCACCTTGACCGCTCGTTTTTCATGGAGCAAATGCTTCTTGACCAAGACCATCCAGTGCGCGCCAATTATGGTGCAATATTCTTCAAGGTCCTTGGTGTCGGGGTGCCACAACTCTGCCGTCAAACCGCTCTGCCACAACAATGTCGCCACTTCCAGCCGAGAATGGAGCATCGCCGGGTCGGAGCAGACCAAAATCAACGGCTGCTCAACTTGCGGCCGGGCCAAGCAACCCACCATGCGATCGACCGAGAAGCGGACTCCGACGGCCCGCACTGTTGGTAGCTGCATGCGCGCCGCCGGCAATCGGTACTTGATCACGAGTGCGTCGTACCGTCCGCCCTCGGCCATGATTTCGTTTTGGTTGTTCACGACTTGAAACATGAGTCCCGTCGTGTACGCTTCCTGCCGCAACCCGAGGTCCAGGCGAAGGGACACGGTGTTTTTCAGGTCCAGAAACAGCGCGCGGAGGTTCTGGAGGCCGAGGAGGGCGTCGTGAATGGACTTTTTCAGCTGCGCATCGCGCTTGTGCTCCCGTTTGGTCTTGTTCGAGAACGCACTTCTTGTCGTCGACGATGCAAAGTCGTGGTGCCCGAGCTGGCTCATCGTGAGCATCAGAAACGACTCGATAGACGCCAGGGCGACCACCGGGTCCGGCGGCAGATGGAAGAAATGCTTGAGCAACTCGCACGACGATTCCGAAATCGACACGTCCGTCATCTTTCGCACGACAAATTTCCACCGACTTGTGGGCACTGACGGCAAGTTGGACTCCTGGTAGACCAGTCCACGTCAGCATTCTGTGGATAGCAAGGAAGCATCGCACTGGTCACGTCGGACGTTGCCGCAACGTCTGGCGACGACTAAACAGCTTACCTGGGAGAGCCACTTGAGCACATCCCGTCGAGAAGCGAGCGGGACGTCGCAGATGTCAAGCATGCCGCGTGAAAGTCTGGCGTCGCTCAGCCGCACGAATGACGTCGCGAGAAGTCCCAGGGAATCCAGCGACTGCCGCACGACATTGAGCACTTCGAGCTCCATAATGCGCCCCGTGTGTTTTTCGTCCCACACCAAGTCAAAATCGGCTTCAAAGATCTCGCGGGGGTGGCCGCCGCTCACGCTTTTCCGAAATACACGGCCAAAATGGAACCGTTTCAGCTGCGTCACGTTGTTGCGTGCGAGGAACCGCGCGAGGGGCTCGGTAAAGTCAAACGGGAGCATGACTGTGACCCCCGCCGCGTCGAGCAGCGCACACCGATTCACGTGGAGCGCGCAACTCGCTCGTTTCGGCATAAGCAATGGCGTCGTCAGCTCGACTGCTCCATGTTGTTCAAACACCGTCTACGATATTGGGAGATAGCCAAGGCGCTCACAACAGCCACACGTTGGTGAACACAAAGGGAAGCACGTATAGGAGCCGGAAACCTCGTGCATGGACAGTCTCTGTGTGACATGGAGAGGATTCATTAACGCTAGGCGACCCCATCCAACGTGTACCAGATGGATGTTTCATCGTCACCCCGTACAAATATCGAGCCAAGCACAACCAAATCAAACTGCGCGTGGATGGACGAAAATGTCGGACAATCACGCGGCGGCGAGTGGCCTCGAGGACATGCACACAACGCCAAGAAAACGAATTAAACTCTCCAGACAGCACCTCCATTCCCGTTGCTGTACGTACTTGTAAATGTCGCTGCACGAACACGCGTCCGTGGCCTTCCGAGTACAACGCGGACGTTTTGTGCCGGTGCACGCCGTCAAACGTGTAGTCGACGTGGTCGACCGGTTCTTGCACAAACAGCGCTTGCATCATTTGTCCGAAAAAGTGGCCTTTGGGGTTCGCCAACGTCTGGAGGGCTTCCTTGAGGTACTTTTCCTCGACTTCCATCTTTGGGGGGAGCAAGTTGGACGCGAGGAGTTCGGCCGCGGATGGCCGGTTGTTCGGGTTGGGCGAGCACAGCCAGTGGACAATGGTCTGGACATTCGGCGGAGCTTTCCAGTGCGGCGGACACTGGTTGCGCTGGCGGAGGTCCATGAGGGCTTCAGCGCGTTCCATCAGCGTCGTGAACGGTGGCGACCACATTTCAAAAAACAGAATCCCGAGCGAAAACATGTCGGCTTTTTGATTGTACCGCTGGCCTTCCTTTTCCTGCTCTGGCGCGCGGTAAAACGCCGTTCCGACCCCCGCCGTGATGTTTAAGCTTTCGTACGACACCGTCATGTCGTGCATGCCGTCTTCATACGCGCCGGGTGTGTCGCGGGAAATGCTATCGTACGTTGGAATGTCCTTCAAGTGGTTCACGTTCAGCGACGGTACGTGGTCCAGAATCGCTTCGTCGTCGTCTTCATCGGGTTTGCGATCTTGAATGTCTTTGGGGGGCTTGGTGGCGAGCCCAAAGTCCCCCAACTTGACCGTCCCTTCCGCGTCGAGGAAAATATTGGGTGGCTACAAAGCATCCGTGAGCATCGCAAACGGCGAGACACGTTGGACAAAGGCGAGGGCGTCATTCCAGCCACGATGGCAACGACAACCGAGATCGTCCACCGTTCTGTACCTTGATGTCTCGATGGATCACGCCTTCGCTGTGGATGTAAGCGATGGCTTCCAAGATTTGCCGAAACAGCGTCCACACTTTGTCCTCGGACTTCCACAGCGACATTTGATCGATCACGTCGCGCAACGTGTTGCCGCCACAATACTCCATTTGGATAAACAGCTTCTCGTTGGCTTTTTTGGGTTTCCGCGGCGGCGATGGACCGTTGTAGTGGTGGTGGAGCATTGCTTCCCGCGCTTGGGCGTCGACAGTCCACTCCCACGCATCCGTCATGTCCTTGGCGTCGCTGTTGGACTCGTTCTCGTCGCTGCTGCTGCTGCTGCCGTCGTCGTGCAGCATGGCTGCGCGGGATGACGCGCGGGGTTTCGTTGCGACTGCCGCGGATGTCGAATGGTGTCGCGACCGACTGTGGCCGAGCCAGTCGTCTTCTTCTTCGCTGCCGCTGGACGACATGAACTCTGACGTTTCGTCATCCGACCATCCGTCGTTGTCGTCGCTGCCCTCGCCCGTATCATCGCCTCCTTGGCGGTCACTGCCTTCGATCCACGCTTGAAAGTACCGGACAATGTGGCGATGTTGCAGCCTCGAGATCGTCTTGACTTCGCGCAGAAGCTTTTTCTTCATCGTCGGGTCGTTCGAGTCGAGTTTAATTCGCTTGACTGCGTACCACTGCCGATCGAGACGGTTTTGCACCTTGAGCACTTCGCCGCCCCCGCCGCGGCCCAGCACCTTATCCTCCTTGAAGTCGTTCAAGTACCTTGACGTGGAAGGATGCGCACGGGATTCCGAGTCCGACTCGCCGAACGAAGACGACCCGTCCGAGTTGCCAGAGGACGACTCGTCAGACGAGTTGTACCGTCCTGCCCCAGCCATCCGAGCAGTCATAGCGGTGACGTCGACGGCGGTGACGGGAGGATGTGCGTGGCCATTCCCGCCTTTGTGTTTCTGGATCTTGGCCTTTTTCTCAATGTCTGCCTGGATAACCTTTCGCATTTGCTGCTCCTCATGCATGGCTTGCTCTTGCTCGAGCTCTCGGGTCCGCCGCAATTCTTCTGCGTCGCGCTCTGCTTGTTTTTGATGTCGTTTGACCATTTGGTCAAAGAACGACCGCTGGTCTTTGATATGACGGAGCAGAAACTCTTCTGCGGCCACGACCATGTCGTGAACCATCACGGCGCCTTCGCGGAGTTTGAGCTTCTCGCGGCCCATGGCCTGCAATTCCTCCTCGAGGTTGGCGACTTCTGTGGTCGTAAGGCCGTCGGATGACTCGACGTCGACGTCGGGGAATTCTCGTATCGGGTATCCCTTGCGCAGCTGGAACCGCAACGTCACAGTCGCCACGCCTTGGATGTCGCCGCTTCCGTTGGAGCTTAGCGTCTCGCCTTGTTTGGAGACTGTGATTGCAAATGATGGAAACCCTTTGATGCTTTTCCGCTCGGCGTAGTCGTCGCCGTAGATTGCCTCGAGCACCTCCATCTCTTCGTCCTGCAATGCTTTGCATGCGCCAAACGTTTCATCGCTGATGGGAGGCAACTGTTCGTTGGTAATCGCGGCCGTGACGGCGCCGCCACACTCGGCAGCGGCTTTCTTCCGTTGTTTGAGCTTCTTCTTGTTGACCATCGGCCCATGCACTTCAAGGCGACAGGTTTACATTGGGCTTGCGTGCAATTTTCAATCGGAGAGAATTTTAAAAACTTTTCTGGTGGAATAATCCACGTTGCATCTACCAAATTAAAAAACAAAACCAAATCGACCTTGAATTAAATGCGATTGGGAATTTGACTTGATTAAAGTATACCGTTGAAATGCACTCATTTGATTGGACAACTCTCCCGGGCACCACAGGAACGAGCACCGCAACATTTATGGCTGGGAACGGCTGCATCGGGAGTGGCACGCGCTGGATCCACCCAGCAGACGCGATGGAGCCAGCAGAGCGTGGGTGTAGGAAGGTGCTTGTGGACAAGGACCAAGTGCTAGAAGTCTTTCTCCATTTGAGCTATCTCTCTACTGCAGTAGATCTTGGTTTCTTTGGGGCGAATTGTGATCTGCATGCCTGTTGGCAGGACGTCTTCGTCCTTGCGCTTGAATAACAAACACACAGTTGAGCACCCAAACAACACCTACAACACTATCGCATCCATTGCGTCGTGGCTTGTCTTATCCAACGTACTGTGAAGAATAGCAGAGCTTGCACGGTGATGCACAGGCCGATCACCTACCCGGCAGGGGGTGGTGAGCAACAGCAGCATCGCGGCATGTCCATAGCAATAGTTTATGGCGGAGAAAACTACACTGGCGTACCGTTGTGGCCATGCTTTGGTGCAGCGCACTGGCACACCTGCAAACATGCATCAGTACAACGACTTGTGGACCCAACACCCAGACCACGTACGAACCCTTTTGCAAATAGACCCGCGCCACTCATCCCACAGCTGCCAATGGGGTAATCAAACGAGCAGCTCCCGCCCGCGTAGCACAGTGGAGTTGGCATGTAGTCACCGGCATACTACGCACGGCATGGTCGCCACACTAGCACAAAAGGACCCTATACCTTTGGCGTCGTCGGACAAGTTTGTTGGGTAGGCCAGTTCGTGGACGGCCGATTGCTCGGAAAAGGCCGCGTATCGTTCTGTCGGCATTTTTGGTCAACATTGAACGCTGTTGAGTGCAACTACCTGGCAATGGCGAGGTGGACCGAGTCCGCAGCACACATTGGCATCTTGCAGCTTTTGCATGCTCTGCAGCATACCACTGGGTCACACGAAAACAACCCAGCGAGAAGGTGAAAGTACGGATCCAGCGGTTTGGTCAGCCAGCGTTTCGATGTAGAACGTTTGCCACGCCAACCGCAGGCCCCCAAAGGTGTCGCTCTACTGATTCGTTGGGGACGCGTCCAGAGATGATACAAGTCATCGGCGGCCAGCGTACGAGAAAGTAGGGCTGGCACAGCGCGCGTTGGGTGTCATTGTTGAGAAAGTTCTACTCGAGTGACTTGATGGGGAGAGTTGGAGCGACCGACAGACATACGTTTGTTAGACACAACTCTTGAAAGTCGTACGGGTAGTCCGGTGACGCCAAGATCAGCCCACTCCCGGCGATACTTGTTTGCATGACGGCGAGCCCGACAAGGCCACTCACGTGCTAGCCATCGCCGCACATGATGACACGGTCAAGACGACGTCGTCCAAGCGAGTTGGGACCCACCACGAGCAAAAGGAACTTGTTGTGATACTTGGCCCCGACGTACCCGGTGCCAGCGACCATAGGGTACATGAATGCAAGGAACACGAGACCTTTGACCGTCACCATGAGGACCCAGCGGCATGCACAGCGCATGCCAATACACGCACCGCCACCAACGCTGCGGACTTGACTGCCGAGCGCCATGTGATACTTGGTCGATTCGGACAGCCCAGCGCCAATGCACAACAAGAGCAGCGCAATGGTCTACGTTTGGGCATGCAAGGCACGATCACATCACACGCATATACATCAGTCATACACATTCAGTCACGGCGACGGCAGCCATGCCGCTGGTCAAGTTGTCCTTGCTGCACATGGCGATGGTTGGCGTGCTGAAAAGCGATGGCCGTGACGGTTTCGTTGTAACTGCTGGGGCGCTACAATGTCGACGCGGTTTTGAATGCAAAACGGAGCCGACTTGTCGTGGAGCGCATTATGCGCAGTGCTGTAGCTCGGAGCGTAGGTGCACGCCGTAACCTTGCCATGCACCCGCACCGAACTGAGCTCCGAGTCGATGTGACGAAGTGGGCGTGCCTGATTGGTCGAAACATGGCCACGCCTTCGTCGCACTCTGCCGGCAGACATGAACTCGGAGTCCACTTTTCGAATGGAGACGCACGCCTCAGCACCTCATCCGACGCCGTTGATCCGGGCTGGCCTTGTGGGATTTGGCACTGCGGCCACGTTCTTCCACGTGCCGCTCTTGCAGGCAAGCGGTCGATTCAATATCACCCACGTCGTCGAACGCACGCACAGTCGAAGTCGTGCAATCCTTCCAAATGCCACGATCGTTCGCTCCGTCGAAGCCTTGTTGGAAGCGGCACCTCCCGTGGACGTCATCGTGATTGCCACTCCAACCAATATGCACTACGTCCAGGCGAAATTGGCCCTCCAGGCAAAGAAGCACGTCGTGGTGGACAAACCTTTCTGCGTCACCCATGCAGAGGCGACGGAGCTTGTCTCGCTGGCTGCTGCGCAGGGTGTAATGTTGTCTGTGTTCCACAACCGACGATGGGACAGCGATTTCCTCACAGTGCAAGATCTCGTGCGCCGTGACGCTTTGGGCCACGTGCGCTATGCCGAGATCCACTTCGACCGGTACATTCGCCTGCGTCGCCGCAACGACCCTAAGAACTTGTCATTGGCGACCTAGGTATCGCCCGGAACCAAAACACAACTGGAAAGAAGATCCTGCTGTCGCTGGTGGCGGTTTGCTCTACGACCTCGGGTCCCACCTGGTGGATCAAATGCTCGTCTTGTTTGGCCCTCCGGCGACTATTCAATGTATGCTCCGATTCAGTGCTTCAAGTTATCCACAACTCGTCTTGTCGGTAGGCACAGTTGAGACCCAGCGCGACTACGGCAACAATGTCGGCACGGACGATTACTTCTGCCTGACTTGCCATTACGACGACGGCCTGGTCGTCGTCCTGACAGCTAGTATGCTCGTGAAAGAGCTTGGCCCCAAGTTTATTCTCCGAGGAACCAAGGGCACATTTGAAAAGTACGGGCTGGACACACAGGAAGCGTCACTGCGCAGCGGCAACTCTGTCCGAGGGCCAACATTTGGCGAGGAAGACGAGACGATGTGGGGAACGTGGACAGAAGGCCCGTACGCAGGGAACCGCGTACCGAGCCTCCGGGGCAACTATGTGGAATTCTACCAAGGGGTAGCCGATGCTATGAAACATGGCACCCCGGCCCCTGTCCTCGCTGAGGATGCTGCTCGCGTGATTCAGATTGTCGAACACGCCAAAATGACGAGCCACAAACGGCTCGACGTGGCTGCGTAGACCGACTGGCGATGACCCTTTGTTTCAGTCTGTGGTCCATCGATGCAAACGAAAGTGTTTCATCCGTTCGTAACGGGCTTGCGCGCATGTACAACCAGTACAGGTCAGATGTAGCCCACCACTCGCATTTCCACGTCGTCCACAACAGGTCGGGAGCGAATGCTGGTTTTGGAATATACTCGTTGGAGCGTATGATGGCGTCCGGACGATGTCACTGGCGCTGATTACACCTGGTGGCCAAGAGAATTGTCAGCCGCTCAATCTATCCAGGGTGCCGTGACGAACGGGGTCCTCCAAACGTGGCGTTAACACACCGAGTCGGCAGCGCTGGCGACAGCTTCTCGCAATGCAGCGTTTTCAAGTTGAAGTCGATGGTTGTCTTCCCGCAACTACACAGGCAAGCATGGATCCAGTCACGAAAGCTGGAGGAACATGGGAGGTTGTACGGACGCGTTCGAGCTCTTCCGTGTGCTGGTTTCCCATGGATGGAGACGTTGGCAGTGAATACACCGGCGTGGCGATAGGAGCATCGGTCCATGCGTTCGCATCGTGCACAGGTTTTGTCGATGGGATGGCGGTGTCGTCCATGTTGAGTGTGATTACTCGGACAATGTGATTGCCTGTGTCGCACACCCCGACCACCAGCTTTGGTGGGCACCGGTTGTTGTCCTCGTGGGGATGCTGGTTTGGGCTGTACCAACTGTGGTGGACCGGCAGCATGGCAACGCCTTTTGGCAGCAACAACGGAGGCTCGACGCCTTTGGGGAACCGCCAGCTTGGCGCCAACGCACCCACCGATATTGTGCGCACCCACGAGTACTTGAGCTTCCCGATATACCCGCCAATGTGGCGGATACAGTGATTGCCCTTGTCTGCCACAAACAGCGAATCGTCGCTCGCGCGGCATATGCCCACAGGCTGGTTAAACAAGGCTGAATCGCAGTTGCTATCCAAGTGGCCACTCTGACCCCCTCCTACATATTGACGCTTAGTCCTTCGCCACCAGGACACACAAAATTCAATACAGACACCTGCTATCGTGTGGACCGTCCATTCCGTGGCCCCTCGTGTCTGGCGCCGACTCACGACCCGAATGCAGTGATTAAACGTGTCGGCTACAAGCAATTCATCCTGACCACGACCCAAGCAAATGCCGGTGGGTGCCCGAAACCTCGCTCGATCGCCCGGCCCGTCGATGTACCCTCCGACGTGATTAGACACCCGTCCGCGGCCGTCTTTCACAACCCCCATCGATTTCTTCTTGGTCCCTCCGCTGCCGTTCCCAGCTATGGTCAACACGACCCAATGGTGACCGCCACCGGCGTTGTTCGTGCTGGAGCTTGCCACATGTCGCTTCACCCGTCGAACTTCACGAATACAATGGTTGCCCGTGTCGACAACGTACACGACCTCGTTCCCATCTACACAGACACCGGACGGATGATGGAACGTCGCAGTGTTCGCCGGGCCGTCTTGGTGGCCGCGGACACCCGTCCCAGCAAACGTATCAAATGTCATTTCATCGATGGGGAAATGCAACGGCAGTTGCCCCCATTGGATGCGATGGTTGCCAGAGTCGCACACGAGGAGATGTAGAGTGTCCCACGACGCAGTTATGGCAAGACCTCGCGGCGATGAAAATCGAGCGTGGCGAAGGGACTGGACGCGGGGCTCCGAGTCGTACTTGTTGAGCGACGAGTGTGATGGAGGTACGACGAAACGAAGGGTGTTGTTCTACAAGTGACAGAGCAACAACCGATCAACCGAAGGGATAAACATGAACTGCTGATTTGAATTCCAGCATGACAGCGGTACCTGTGTGTCTGACAGGACAAGCGTGCCAGCGTCGTCTCCTAGGTAGCACAAATCTGCTGGAGCATTGAAGGACGCAGACACTGCGCGACCGTCGCCACATCCTCGCTGTCCACTGCCCGCAAGCAAGTGCACTGTGTCTAGTGATTCGCCTTCATATTCAGCATCGACGTTCACGTGCGGAAGGCGACGCCGCGTCCTGCCTGCTTCGTGTCGCGATGTCATGTACCAGTTCGATCTTGAACCGACGCCAGTGGAATCGTACTTGATCGGAATACTGTACGTACTTTATGCTTTATCTGTGTTTTGACAACGTTTCAAACGTTTGACATGGAAAGGTTTAGTTGGGATTGCAACCGCCCTGTTCGCTATTAAAAGGTGATTAAAAATGGATTTTAAATGTCTTGTTTGCATGAAAGAGACGTTTTTAAACGTGCCCATCACCTCCGTCGAAGTTCGTAGAAAAATTGTGCAGTTGCTCCCGCTGCGCAGAGCAGGGCAACCTAATAACAGGTCGACCACCATCCATACCGCGGGATGACGATGGACGGCGGCACGTCCGGCGTCCTCGTGAGAGGGCAAGACATCATGTTGGAAATGCTTCGGCAGGTGCAGGGTTACTTTCGAACGAATGACCCATCGAAGAAGACTGAGGGGTGGCGAAACCTCGATCGCTCAGCAATGGTGGCGATTTGTTCATCGCGGATCTCTAAAATTCTAGACAGTGACGACGACCCTGCTATGCCAAGTGGAACGGACAAAGGGGAAGACAACCAAGGACAGCAGGTGCTCGAGCAAGCTGTGGTGCAGGAGATCCTTCTGGGCCTTGTCGAGAAGCGGCTCCACGAAACACAGCTCCAGGTTACCCAAGGCCCCGTGGATATTCAATTCCTCAAACAGCAGTTCGTCACGATGGCTCGCGACAGCGAATACGTAGGCTAAGGACTCATGGGGTTTGCTCCTGACACTGCTCGTCTTCTGTCCAGATTCAAAAAGAGATGCCCATGAACAACGGTGGCGACGTGCGCGATGCCAAGGTTCTGGCCTTTTGGGCGTTGGACGATCTCGAAAAGCAATCTTCCGTGGTGCATTTACGCGACACAATTCGAGCCCAGGACTCGACAATCCAAGCCATGATGCGGGAGCTGAATGCTCTGCGGAATGGTAGCAGCATTGGCGACGACCGGCAGCTTTCGCTGACAGGCGACAACAACGACTCTGTTGGAACGATTGGTACGCACGCCACTCCGTGAGAGCAACATGCAGCTGCATGTGGTTGACTTTGCAATGCCACGAAATAGGTAAATTTAACTGGAGCTCCTCGTCGGCATTTGCCGACCACGATGACGATCAACAGCTGCAGCACAGCCACTGGAACAATGTGGACGCATTGGTTCAGGAACTTCGCAGTTCGGTTCATGGCAACTACCGCGACAACGTCGACATGCTGCATGGCCATATCCAGCAGCTCGAATCACAGCTTACCGACGCCACACGCCACATTTCGGACGTGACAAAACTCAACCACCAGCTCAAGCTCGAGGTGGCGCATTTAAATGGTAGTGACCCGACGAGGTACATGGACACCGTGTCTCGTCTGCAGCACCAAGTGAGCGATCTGGAGGCCGCGCTGGCCACAGCTAGCGCACGAACCCGCGCGCTCGAGTCTGAGCTGGCTGTGCCAAGTGCGAACCTGGCCTACTTGAGTCGACAGAACGAGTTGCTGCAGCAACGCGTTAGCATTTACAAGAAAGAACTGGACGACCAAGCCGACACGCAACAACTCTTGGCTGCGAAAGAGGGACTAGAGCATGGCCAAGAATGCCATCATCGCTTTGACGGTGTATGCAACGACTTGATCGAGTCGCTTCGTGCAGAGATTCTGCACGGCCGCGACCTCCATCGCACGGACTTGATCGCGCTGTTAGATCAGCTGGGCGAGTTGGCGCGCGAGAACCAGGCGTTGCGGGACCCCGACTCTACATTGCTCGAACCACACACGCCGCATTCCCCGACCAGGTCGGTGGACGATACGTTGGAACGCGTGGCACGCACATTGCACGCCGACAATGGCGAGTTGCTCGAGCAAGTTCGGTCGTACGAAGCAACAATCGCTGCGACAGAAGCCCAAATGACCCAGTTACGGCGCGAACGCGAAACTCAAGAGGCTGAAGTGGAGCTGCTGCTCGAGAAGTTGAACCCGATGGTAGCCGCCCACGAAGCCGCGATGGAGGAGCGCAAGGCCATGGAAGCCGACTTGGCACAGCGCGAAGCAATGATCCAAGCGTTGCAGGCCAATGTGTACGAAATGAAGCGCGAGATCAAGATCATCACTGCTGATGTCGATGCCATCGTCGAAGAAAAGGAGCTGCTCCAGGAAGAGCTCGACGAGTTGCGAAATCGCCAATCGGTCGTTGCCGGAGCTGCGACTGCCACCGAACCACCGTGTAAGTCGTGCGTGGGGTTGCAGCAACAAATCGATGAACTGAGCACGGAGGTACGCCATTCCAATCCAGATATGATCATCTTCGCTCGTGTCAGCAGCATTGAGTTGCTCACCTTCCACTTGCTAGCTGGAGCAAGTCCAAGAGTCGCTGGAAACAGCCGAAGCAGAGGTACGGCCGCTGCGCCGATCCTTGTCGATGAAGGATCAGACTATTCAAGAAACCAAGACGCGGGTGACGGAACTCGAACGCCGGCTAGTCAACGACAAGTCCGAGTATGAGAAGGCTGTTGCCGAACGCGACCACGCGATTGAGGCGTTGCAAAAGAAAGTGTTCGAGTACAAGCGCGAAGTCAACGTCCTCACGGACGACTACGACTCGATTTTTGAAGAGAAGCACGAAGTGGAGCAAAAGTTGGAGCAGGTGGAGACCCAACTGCTAAACTTGCAAGACGAGCTGGACGAATTGGACCGCGTCGTTGTCGTCCTGCGATGTGACGTCGACCGATGGCGCGAAGCGTTCGAGCAAGCGCGCATGCAACACGAAGAGGTGTGTGAGCTCTACTACCGTCCCGTACGTCCGTGCGTACAACTGACTAAACTTGTCGTGCATTGTAGGAACGCCAGCGCTTCATGGAATGGGACGCCGTTGTCAGGGCGCAGTTGTCCGAGTTTGAACAAAACTCTAAAGACTGGGCCGCGACCCAGGGCGACCTGCGTTCCATGCACGAAAGAGACGTCGCCAACCTCAAGGACAGAGTACTTTCGCTGCAAGACCATGTTGAGCTGCTGTCGACGTCGGAGGAGATGCTGACGAAGCAACTACAGCACGTGACGGACGAAATGGCATCAATTGTCGATGAACGCGCCGAACTGGCGGGACACATCGTCCGGTTGGAAGGCGAACACCTCGCCAAGGAAGCCGAATGGAAGGTCGAGCGCAGTGAACTTCGGCGGTTGCAGGACGACGCTATGGCGTCATGGGAAGCCACGCTAGTGGCCGAGCGTCACGAGAAGGCTCAAATCATTGGTGACATGCAACGGGCGATGGACGAATTATCAAAGTCCCGCTTGACGTTGTCCGACGACGTGGATCGTGTTCGCGTTGAAAAGCAAGAGGAAGTCAACGGATTGAAGGCAGCCCGCGATGCATTACACGCCCGTGCCGACGAAATGGAACGTGAGTTGGCCAAATGGATGGCGGTGATGGAAGTGCTCAAACTGGAGAAAGCTTCCGCGTGGGAGCGCGTGAATTCCCTCGAGCAAAACTTGGATGAGAGCTTGAGGCATTGCCGGCACGTGGAAGACGATATGGAGAGGCAAGCCAAAGAATTCGCGCATTGTCAAACCCAACTGAATGCCACCGTGGCAGCGCTTACTGAATCGGAGCAACAGTTGATGCGAGACATCGACGATCTCACCAACGCCAAGGCCACTGCCGACGAACGCACAAACGAACTGCAGAGCGAGGTGGGGGCGCTAGTTGAAGACAAGAGAACTCTCCAGGACAAATTGAGCTTGCTAGAGCAACAGTCCGACCAGTTGAAATCCGCTCATGCCGCCATCGAAATGCAGCTTGTTCACAGCGAGTCCACCTGCATGGCACTCCAGTCGACAATCTCTGAAAAAGAAGCAGAGGTGGCCAAGCAAGGGCTGGTCATCGTTGACTTGAACGCTCGATTGGAACGTCTGGCGTCGTCGGAGCAGACGTTGCTGCAGGATATGGCACTACTTACCCAAGAAAAGTCAGACTTAGAGCTGCAGGTGCCCGAAACCGTGCACAAGCTGGCAACGTTGACACGATCCCATGGCGAACTGGAGACGATGGTGCAATCGAAGCAGTCGGAAATTATGCGGTTGAAGGACTTGATTGACTCGCTGACAAAGGAAAACGCTGCCCAAGTTCAAAAGGTTGGGGAAGTGGAAGCGGTGGCGGAACAAAACGAGGCTAAATGGATACAAGAGCTGGCGGCGGTGACATTTGACCGGGACTCATCCACAACCAAAGTATCGGTGTTGGAATCTGCAGTCGCAAAGAAGGATGGTGACATTGCCCAACTCGAACTACTGCTCCAGCGATTCAAAGACAAGGTGGCGACGCTTACTGCTTCTGAAGCCAAGCTAAAGTCGGACGTCGACGAAGCAAAGGAGCGCCTGGTTACGATGGAGCGTGACCACGACGCTGCTATCCAGATTTTGGAAGTGAATCAAATGGAGTTGGAAGCCCAAGTCGAGACCAAAGTGTGGGAAGTACAAGGTTTACAAGACCAAGTGGCGAAGTTGACGGACTCGTGCACCGAACTTGCAGCGGAAAAGAAGTCGATTGAGGTGGACAAGGAAGCGCTGGCCGCGACCCAGGTGGACTTGGAAGAGCAAATTCAGAAAAAGGAGTTTACGATTCGAGAGCTGCAGACTCAATTGGTTTGTTTGTCCGCGCAACACCAAGAAATTGTAGTGGCGCACGCGTCGTTGGCTGAAGATAAACAAGGGCTGGAGCTCAACTATGCCACGAAATTCAACGAGATTGAGCGCGCACTGGAACAATCGAAAGCGGATCTCCAAGCCGCCGTTATCGACAAGATGGACACGGTGGCCAAACTCCAGATGTTGTTGGATCGATTCAAAGAAAAGGTGGCTCAATTGACCGCGTCAGAAGCGTCCGTGTCAAAGGAACTCCAAGCTACGTTCGCCGCGCTCGCTGCCAAAACAAACGAAGGGAATGACCTGCAGCAGAAAGTGGAGTCGCTAACCGCACAATTGAACAAAGCGCAGCTCGATGTGGAGGCGCAGCGGTCTGAAAACGCTGCCTTGAGTCAAGACTCCATCGCGCAAAGCGCCCAGATTGTCGCATTGACAGCGGCAAGCATTCAAAGCCAAGACCAAGTGACCGCGCTCACGTCGCTCGTGGCGGCGAACACTGTTGAAATGGAGAAGCTGCAGGGACTGCTTGACCGATTCAAAGAAAAGGTCGCGGCACTCACGACATCGGAAGCCAAGCTGACGATGGAGCTGGCCCAACTCCGCGATGAGAAGCAATCGTTGGAGATGACGTTGCCCGAGCAAATGGAGAAGCTCACATCGTTGAGCCGATCGCATGGCGAGCTCGAGCTGAGCAAACGAATCGTCGACCAAGAAAACGACGACCTCAAGGCGAGTTTGGCAGCGTTGGAACAAGCAAAAGCAAAACTGACGGCCGAACGTGAGGCGTTGGCGGCCGAGTCGACCCACTTGGCCGGTGACGCTGCTGCGCACGCGGCCAAGTGCTCGGACTTGGAGGCAACATTGGCCCAAAAAGACGACGAAATGGGTAAACTGCAAGACCTGCTGAACCGGTTCAAGGAAAAAGTGGCAGCCCTGACCAAGTCCCAGACGTCGCTAACCCAGCAAATGACAACGCTTCGAGACGAAAAGCTCCAACTTGAGCTGCGATTGCCTGAAACACAGGAACAGGTGGCATCGCTGAGCCGGTCCCACAGCGAACTCGAGTTGTCCTCGAGCACACTACGCGCAGACAATGTCCGCTTGCAAGCTACATTGAACTCGCTGACTCAAGACTACGACGACCATATGAAAGCATGCACCTCTCGTGAGTTGACGACGACGCAGGAACGGCAGGGCATGGTCAACCAAATTGCCGAGCTCGAGGCTGAATTAAACGACAACCATACAAAACGCATGGAACTCCAAGCGAGCGTGAGCTACCACGAAGACCAAGTGGCTAAACTGCAAGGACTGGTCCAGCGATTCAAAGAAAAGGTGTCGGCGTTGAACAAGTCGGAAGACGTTTTGACCAAGCAAGTGATACTCTTGACGCAAGAGAAAATGGCGCTCGAAATGTCCGTCCCGGATCATCAAGCCAAGATGGCCACGCTGACCCGAGCGCAAGCCGAATTGACCGACACTGTCCAAGCGTTGCAAGCTCAAAACGCCAACTTGACGTCAGAGCTAGAGGTGTTTGCTGCTGAAAAGGCTAGATTGATAGCGGACCACCATGCCAAGGCCACTGCGTTGGACACCGAAAAAGCCATCTTGGAAGGCGATCTTGCCACTCTGGCGGCCCAACTCAAAGCGAGTGCCGCCTCCAAAACCCTACTGGGCGCGGACATGCTTGCAAAGGAAGCCGACGTGGTTGCCCAGGCTCAAGAGATCGCTCAATTGCACGCCGACATTGCTGCTCTGCAGGAAGAGCTGAAGCGAGTGACTGACGAGCGGGATGCTCTCAACTGTCAAGTGCCAGCCAAGGAGCATGAACTCGCGTCGCTAAGTCGATCGCACAGCGACCTCGAGAGCAGCGCTCAGTCGCTGCGAAGTCAGAACGACCGCTTGACGGCGGAATTGACCTCCCTTCTCGCTGAATTGGAACGTCGAACCGACGAGCTCCATGACACGAAAATTCGTTGCTCCGACTTGGAACGTAACGTGGTTGGAGCAAAGGAATCGGAATCGCGTGCCGTCGAGCAACTCACAGTGGCGCGACAAGAATGGGACGACCAAACCAAGACGTGGCAAGCCGAACTCGTCTCGAAAGAAGAGGAAATCTCGCATTTGCAGGAATTGTTCAACGAAGAAGTTGGAGCGCTGAAAGCGGACGAAGCGCTCGCGACTGACCGGTATGACGAACTGGTCCAAGTGCATGCAGAACTTTCGCGCGTCCATGACGATGTGGTCGAGAAGTGCAATTTGTTGCAAGTACAACGGGACAACGCGGTACAAGAGCTGACCGACACGGACGCCTCGTGGAAAACTACGTGTGCTGAATTGAGTACCAAAGTGTTCACGTTGGAGGAGCTCTTGTCGAAGAAGGACGCTGCGGTCCTCGACTTGCATGCGTCTGTGACGACGCTGACGGCGAAAACGGCCGACTTGCAGCAATTGCTAGATGAAAAAATTGCACTGATTGCCCAGCTCGAAAGGTTGCGAGCAACGCGGCATGCGGCAGCAGCGTCCAACTCAAGCCACAACGACGAACGCCTAAGCCTTCCCGACGAATACGCCCTGATTATCTCCGAGAACGATCAACTCCGCCTGGGCCAAGAAAACCTCAACACGATCGTGGGCGTGCTCAAGGCTCAACTAGCCGAAGCAAACGAGCAGCACGATTCAGCACCGTTGCCATGGGTGTCGTCGTTCGTGCAGGACGTTGCCCCCGTGTTGGGCTTGCCGACGAGCAGCTCGGGACTGCCAAGCCTTGACGAAGTTCAAGCGAGTCTGCGCAACGTGCAGGCATCGATCCACGCGACCGTTGCGAAGAAGAACCCGCGCCGCCGCATGACCTCTTTGGACGACGACGTCATGAACGTCGGCGACTTGGACGGCAGTACCATGAGCAACGGTAGTGGCACGTGGATGAAAGCGATCGAAGAATCCAACGATCTCAACGACAAAGCGCAGCATTTGAACCAGCAAGTGCGCCGGTGCGATACATGCATGCCGATGCCTCTACCCACACATGAACGATATTTCCTTTAGATCGCGCGACATTGGCGGGAACGAGCCCGTCGCGATGGTGTCGCTGTTTCCGGAAGGCGTTGGAAAGGACGTCATGTCGGTCGTGCTCGAGATTGTGGCCACATTGAACGACGAAGATGAAGCGGACCACGAAGGGGAGTCACCGATCAACATTGCACGGACACTTCGGTCGGCGTGGCAGTATCGCCAGCGCCTGCTGCGCGAGCTGGTCGCGGCCATGCATGAGGTTCATCCATTGCCTCCGGCATTACCTCGGGAAGAGCAAGTCGACGTGTGGAAGATGGAAATGCGCAATGCAGTGTTTGTCACGGAAGCCCAACACGCCGCACTAAACAAGGCATTCACAACCATGCACCACTTGTTGTACCCAGCTCAAGTGGCCAACTCAGTGATGGACCTCACCAAGTGGGCGGATTACGCGACCTCCGCCGAGTTCGCCGACAACCTCCGTCAATACACCGCGCGCATGGAGCAACTCGAACGTGATGGCGACGCGTTACATGACGTTGTCGTGCCATTTTTGGCTCAATTTCGCACGTCCGCCGATGCCTCGACGGAGTCCAACCACAATCAAGCCGTCAAAATCAAAGTTGGTCATGGTGTGGACGAATGTCCTGCCTCACACCACGACAGACAACCCAAAGAACTCGACAGTTCATTGGCGGAGGGTGTGCACCGGGTGCACGAGGTGCTCGACAACTTGTGTGAAGCCCTGGCGACCATGCACTCTGCGTTGGCCAGCAGCTCCTCCGAGGCATTCGCACCCAACCCCCGCGCTTCGAACGAAACGTCATTGGGGTCCACGTCGGCCTTGCCACGTACTCACGAAGAATGGATTCAGTACGTTCGATCGCAGCCGTTTGCCGAGCTTGTGCATGGTCACCAGGCCCTGTCCAAGCAACTCTGCAAGGCATTGAGACTTCTCAGCGACAGCGTCATGGCCCCCGCAACATCGTCACCGACGCCAGCAACGTCGATCCAGACAGCACGTGTGCACAAAACCGGGGCCGTTGCAAGCGATTCGACGGAGGGACTTGTCACCTTTCCTTCGCACGATGACGTTGCCGGTTGGGGCGAGTTTGTCGCGTCGCAACCATTCCTCCAATGGGTCGCCACGCGCCGAACGTCGGAGACGGAAGCACAAGCTCTGTGTGACGCGCTGCAGAACATGCACGCCGTCTTATGGCCACGTCACGAAATGAAGCCATCGATGAACGCGACGGAATGGACAGCATATATCCATACGCAGTCGTTCGTGGACAGGCTGCGCCAATGCGCCGGCCAACCACATGAGAAAGCGATATGCGCGGCGCTCCACAAGATGCATCACGCCATCGCCACGACGGCGGAATCCGTCGGCCAACCCCTCGACATGTCAACGCGGTCGATGGACTTGCCGCGGTGGACCGAGTACATCGAGTCGGACAAGTTTGACTCGAACTTGCGTCAGTACACGACGCGATTGCAAGACCTTGAGCGGGAATCGAAGGTGCTGTGCGACGAACTGGACGAAATGCACCACGTCATTGCGCGTGAACAGCGCGTGCATGACGATGGAGACGGTCACCAGCCAAAGGATATGGCCCAGTGGCACGAGTACATTCAAACAACCGAGTTCGCAGACGTCATGGCCAAATACGCCCTTCGCCAGGAAAACCTCGAAGCCGACAGCCACGACCTGCACGCAAAGGTTCTGCCGGTCTTGATCAAGCACGTGCCATCGGCCTCGACATGCACGACCGTGGACGAGTTGCTGGTCGCGTTTGAGGCCAATTTGTCCTCGGGCAGCATGAAGCAAGACCACCTCCAACAGCTCGCCGCCGCAGTCCACGCACTCAACGAGACTGTGAATTGCGTACGGCAGTCGTGCGGGCTGGCTGCGATGGAAACCATTTCGACGGGTCTGTCGTTGCCGAGGCACGTCGATGCTCTCGTTTCGGCATTGCATGAGGTTGAGAACGTGTTGGTGCAGTCGTCCCAGGCTGACAACCTGTCGTCCCCACCGTCCGGTTTGCAGTTGACTCAGCTTGTGACGATGATGCAGCAGCAACACGTCATGACGTCTGCTGGCACGGACAAGATCACTCCGCGCGGCGCAACTCGCGACGACGCGCATGTGCTCCAACTGCGCAACATTTTGACGCGCCTGCAAACGTACCAAGACAAGTGGACGGAAAGAAACCACCGCGACAACGAAAACGGCACCAGCTTTGACGACAGCAACGACGCCATGTCTTCCAACGGCAGCCTCGACAGGCACCCGATCGACGCGTCGGACGTGTTGAAGGCGGTCGAGTTAGCACGACAGTGCCAAGAAGCTGCCATCCACGTCCTCGAGACGCACAACCGGTCTTGTGTCGCCAAGACACGGGTTGAAATCGCCATGAAGTGCAGCGTCCAGCGCGCGTTCTTGCGATGGAAGCACAAGGTCGCCATGGCGTCGGTGATGACGTGCCACGCCCACGAAATCGAGAAACTCAAGCAAGTGCAGTTGTACCAGTTGATTCGATTCCGCAAGACTGCGCTGGCCGAAAAGGAAAAAGCGCAAGCCGAGACGCGGACGGCCACCATGAACGAAATGGTACGGACTCCATGTGCCGTCGTTGTCGAACCCCCGTTGAACCAATGTCGCGACTGTAGTACGCCTACCTCCAAGACGAGGCCCATCAAGTCCATTGCAAGTGTTATTGGGGCGACAAGGAGGCGTCCGATGCAGAATGGCGATCGCACATCAACCATCGCGCCGACCATGCCACGGACGACGACGCCGACAGCATCGCGAGTACGTGAACCTTACCTGGCAATCCTTGTCGACCATGCATGAATTACCGTGGTGGCGCTTTGTTGGTGGTGCTGTAGGTGGCGATAGCAAAGCGAGCACGCGACGCCACAAGAAGCCATCAAGGTCGTACATCCTTCAACCAGGCTTTGAACAACGCCGACGGGAAAGCCTGGGCGGAAGGAGCCAAACTCCTCACAGCGCCACCCCTGTGAAGAAGACCGTGCTCCACGAAAGAGTGGCGTTTGGGTCGAGCGTGAGCCGGCACTTCGCGCCGCCCCCACAAGATGGAGCCTTTACCACGATCGAGAAACTCAAGCGGCAGAACGCGAAGATTACAAGTAGGGTGGAGCACAGCGTGAAATAAAAAGAGGCATGTTGTTCTGTCGATAGCATGACTGGAGAGCGTGGGCGAAAGCGACGCACGACTCCCTCGCCTAACGCTGGCCACATCCCAACAAACACAACGTGTGAGGACGACGTGGCCACTGATGCATCGTTGCCGATATGCCCTGTGGCATGGACAAATCGTTGGAATCAAGCCAGCAACGTGGATTTAGCTGTTTGTTGGCGGGCCGTCGCCATGCCCACACAAACCAAAAACTGAAAACAACGCCGTCCCCCGACGGCAGCCGTGCATTGCGTTGCCTAAGGGCAGCACAGTCGGTGGACACACACAAGACAACAAACAGCCAAATCGAGTCGATCGGCGGCAG